ACCGGTCCTTGACAAGATCAAGGACACCTATGCGAGGATGGCAGCGGCGGGCAGCAAAGTGTCGCAGATGCAACAGTGCACCAAGATCATCTCGGTGCTCGACAACTCGTGGGACAACCTCATCCCCACCCTCAACGTTCAGCAGGACAAATGGACGCCTGAGTGGCTACGATAGCAGATTCTGCAAGAGGACTTCCGCAGGCGCCACACGGGAGGTGGTGCTGCCAACAAAACTGTTGAGGGGTATGGAGCTGCAGGAGGCAGCAGAGGAAGAGGGGGAGGGAGAGGTCGAGGCCGTGGGAGAGGCTTTGGTAGAGGGAGAGGCCGAGGTGACTACAACGAGGGGCATGGGAGCTCTGGTGCCAGGGGGAGCACCCGAATGGAGGGTGTGTGCTGGTACTGCAAGAAGGCTGGACACCCGTGGTTCAAGTGTTTCAGCCGGCCCGAGGGATGGGCCCCTCGAGGCATGAAGCCGCCAAGTGGTGAACGTGCACGTGGTGGCGCTGTGCAATGTTCAGGTGCACAAGGTGATGGTGCACAAGGTAAAGCCGACTCAGGGATGTTCCTCATGGTTGAGGATGTGCAAGGGAGTGGGGGTGATGTGGGTTCAGTTGGGAAGGTTGTGATGCACCCCCTCACCCACTGGGTGATAGATTCAGGTTGCACAAGTCACATGACCCCACGGGCAGATTTGCTTGACGAGGTAAAACCCCCAGGAAAGATCAAGTTTGTGGCTGCCGCTTCAGGTGCTTTGCTCCCTGTGATTGGTGTTGGGGATGCCACGGTCATGGGAGCCAATGGGGGGCTTCTGGGGCTGGGGAATGTGCTGTTGGTTGAAGGTTTGTCCGCTAACCTCCTCTCTGTGCGCCGGCTGCAGAAAAGCAAGGCCAAAGTCACGTTCGGCCCAACCAGCTGCCGTGCAAAGCTTGGGAAGTTGCTGCTGTGGAACTTGGAGGAGAAGAGCAGTTGCATCAAGGACCTGTGGCAGCTGCCCATCATCCCTTGGAAGGGGAAACCACCAGCAACGGCAAAGGCAGTGGCAGCGGCTAAAGCAACTGCAGGAGGAGAGGAGACTGCACCAACTACTGGGGCCCTGGATGCAGTCAAGAAGGTGCAGCAGCTACACCAGCCACATGGTCAGGTGCTTGCTGGTGTGGATGCGACAGCTGCATAGGCAAAGGCTTCATCTTGGAGTGGTGAGGCTGATTGGGAGACGTGGCATGAGAGGCTGTGCCATGTGAACATTCCTATGCTGCGGAAGTTGGTAAAGGATGGGTGCTTGAAGGGGTTGGAGGTGAAGGGGGGAGCAAAGGAGATTGGGAGCTGCCCTACGTGCCTTGAGACCAAATTCACGAAGTTTCCCTTCAGCAGCAGCACAGGACCAGCCAAGGCACCACTTTCACTAGTGCACATGGATGTGGTGGGCCCCACGAGGGCCGTTTCTCTCTCGGGCAACCGCTACTTCTTGACGATTGTGGACGACCACGCGCGTGCGGTGTGGGTCTACCCTCTGAAGACTAAGGGGGAGGTGGCAGCGCCTGTTCTTAAGGAGTGGATGCCGAGAGCACAAAGGGAGAGCGGACACAAGGTGAAGGTGATCCGCACCGACAACGGAGGAGAGTTCATCGGCGCTGATTTTGAGAAGGAGCTGAAGCGGAAGGGGATCCAGCATCAGCTCACAGTGCCCAACAACCCTCAGCAGAACGGCGTGGCTGAGCGGTTCAACCGGACCCTGCAGGAAGGTGCTCGCACTCTCCTTGGGCGTGCAGGGCTGCCGGATCCGTTTTGGGTGACTGCACTGCGGCAGGTCGCCCTTGTGAAAAACAGGGTGCTGGCAACAGTGGGGGACAAGCAGTTGGTCCCCTACACCAAGTGGTATGGGAGTGCACCAGCTGTGAACATGCTGAGAGCCTTTGGGTGCATGGTGGTGTTTCATGTGCCTAAGGAGAAGAGGGTAAAGTTGGAGGCTTCTGGGAGATGGGGTGTGCACTTGGGGCTTGCTAAGGATCACAAGGGCTGGCTGATTTGGGACTTGACCAGCCAGCAGCTGACTCTGTCAAGGGATGTGAAGTTCCTTGAGTCCTTGTACTACAAGGAGTGGAAGCAGCAGCAGCAAAAGCTTCCTACGACACCGCTAATTGTCGAGGCCGATGAGGTGCAGCGGCCTTCGAGGCAAGTGGAGGTTTCTGTCTCTGAGAATGAGATCTATAGGGTGACTGAGGATGGAGAAGAACCTGAGTTGGAGGAACAGCAGCAGCAGCAACAGCAGCCACAGCAGCAGCAGCAAGGTGCTCCACAAGGTGCCGCACGTCCGGCTGACCGTCCCCGGAGGGAATTGCGCCCTCCTAACCGGCTGACCTATCCAAGCTTTGGCAAGCCAAAGGTAGTACGGGCTGGGAGTGTGGCTGAGCAGTGTGAGAAGTGGAAGCAGTGTGAGAAGTGTGAGAAGTGGAAGCTTTGGCAAGCCAAAGGATGAGATAGCACACTGCTACTGGGCAGCCGTCCCTGAGCCCAAGACGTTAGCCGAGGCATTGAGCGGGCCCGATGCTGAGAAGTGGAAGCAGAGTGTGAAGGAGGAGTATGACTCTCTGCTGGAGAATGAGACGTGGGAGCTGTGTGAGCTGCCTCCTGGGAAGAAGGCCATTTCTTCCAAGCTGATCTTCAGGCATAAGTACGGACCAGATGGGGAGCTGACCCGCTACAAGTCAAGGCTTGTGGCTAAGGGGTTTCAGCAGACAAAGGGGAAAGATTTTGATGAGATCTTTGCTCCTGTGGGGAAAGGCACAACACTGAAAGTGTCACTGGCAATGGCTGCAAACCGTGGGTGGCGGGTGAAGCAGATGGACATTACCACCGCCTTCCTCAATGGGATAATTTTGAAGGAGCTGTACATGTTACAGCCTGAGGGTTTGGATGATGGGAGCGGCAAGGTGTGCAGGCTGAAGAAGACCATTTATGGCCTGAAGCAGGCTCCTCGTGCATGGTACCATAAGCTAGAGGAGACACTGCTGGCTGGGGGGTTTATGAAGAGTGAGTGTGACCACATCCTATTTCTGCTACAAGAGAAGGAGCAGTTTCTCATGCTCCTGGTGTATGTGGACGACATCCTGATCTTCTCTGAGTCGTCTGCAATGATTGAGCGTGTGGAGGAGATGCTGGAGATGCAATTCAAGTGTTGAATGTGAAGTACTACCTGGGGATGCATGTGGAGAGGGACCTTGACAAGGGAGTGTTGAGGTTGTACTAGAGGTAGTACTGTGAGGGGCTGGCCGAGAAGTATGGGCTGCAAGATGGAGGAAAGCCAGCCACCCCACTGCCTTCGGGGTTCACTGTGGAGCCCTGTGCTGATGAGGAGGTGGTGGGTGAGAGTGATTGGAAGCTTTTTCATTCCATGGTTGGGGCACTCAACTATGCGGCTAACCACACGCGGCCTGACATTGCCTTTGCTACATCTAGGCTTGCGAGTGTGGTTTCACGCCCCAGTCATGAGCAGCTGGAAGCGGCCAAGAGGTTGGTCCGCTATGTGAGTGCAACGACATCAGTGGGTTTGGAGTACAGTGCTGTGAGACAGAGGCTACAGAGAGGTGCAGCTGATTTGAGCAAGGGGGAGATGCTCTTGACCTGCTACACCGACGCTAGCTTCAACTCTGTGAAGGCGGATGGCACCAGCATTGGAGGCTATGTGTGCCTGTTTGGAGGTGGTGCAGTGAGCTGGCGCAGCAAGAAGCAGAACGAGGTGGGGCAGTCCTCGTGTGAGACAGAGTACATGGCCCTGCATCATGGGGCAAAGGAGGTGGTGTGGCTGAGGCGTTAGTTGGAGGAGATTGGAGTTGGTCAGAGGGAGCCGACTGTGATTTTCTGTGACAATGAGTCGGCGGTGAAGCTAGCGAAGAATGCTTGTCTTCATGGGCTGACCAAACACATCAGGCCTAAGTGGCACTGGCTGAGAAGGCTCCTGGACAAGGAGGTGCGGCAGGAGATTGTGAAGACCCATCAGCAGGCGGCTGACATTCTCACCAAGCGCCTGGCTGAATCTGAGCATTGGAAGGGCATGAAACTTGCTGGGATGAGTGTGCATTGAGGGTGCATGCTTGAGCTATGGCATGTGGGATGATGGTTGGCAGCCAGAGGGGAAGTTTGTTGTGTGATGCAATCATATGCATTCACGTCTGTCTGCCTCCCATCATATGTTCGTGCGTTACATGCATGGTGTGAGCGTGTGCAAGAATTTGTGTTTTGTGCGGTTTGGTTTTTCTGAGTGTGTTTGAATGTTATTTGGCTTGAGCAGATATCTGAAGTGACTTCTCTGCTCAAGAGCTTTCCGACGAACCAAGTATCGCTTCAATCGGAGCACGAACAAGAAAGTTACGAACGTTGGAGTTCGTATGCTTTTGATATTTGGTTGTGGTGACTATGGGAAGTTGTGGGGTTGACTCAATATGGGGTACAGACTTTTGGGGGTTGGGAAATTCGTCTTTTCTACTGTAGTTGCTGCCAAATGGTTGGGAGAAACCAAACCAGGTTGACAAGTGTGGCCAAGTTGGGTTGAGGTGGATTGTGGAGGTTGGGATAGTGACATAGGTCAAAGTTGGGTTGCCTATGGGGAAGGAAATTGTGTGGCATGGGGTTTCCTTGGTTGGGGACTCTCTTGGGACCTTCCCTCTCGTCCTCCTCATCCCTCCCACCTGGTTTAGTGCTACTCTAATTCTCTTCTGAAAACTTGTGTGAGACACTTGTTATTGAGTTAAGTTCTTATGGCAGCATACCATCCTGTGCGCCGAAATTGATAAGTCGATATTTACTTCACCTCTTAATACGATTCAACTTGGGAATTGTAGCCATGGAGTATGGCTACAATATATCTGAGGTTGGTGAAGTTTTGACAGTGCACGTTTTGTCGACGGCGTTTCTTGTGAGCACAACTATTCTGTCCAGAAATAGGGACCAACGATTTTGAGAAATTTAGGCACCTAATCTTCATAGACTCCGTCCTTTAGTCTCTAACATAGGCAAGGAGGGGTGACCAAGGCGGTGGTGCCAGAGGAGAGTCTGGTGAGACAGGAGACGACACGAGCAGGGAGCAGACTCAGGACCAGACCTGGACGCTGCAGCAAACACCTGACCCGACGCAGTTACCTGACCAGACTCAGCAACCGGGGAAGACTCAGTAGTCAGTGTGTACAGGCTCGACCTCGGCTGACGGGTTAACGTGGCCAAGTGTCGGCCCGTCCGAGCACACGTACAGTGGGTCACTCGCTGACTCGCAGGAGTGAACTGGTCAACCCCCCCATCCTGTAGATCAGCTCCACTCCCTAAGTTTGTGGAGATCGAGGGGAGGTAGAGACCTGACAGGGTGCCAGAGGGGGCCGCCGGACACGATAAGACAGTGGAGAAGTGGGCAAGGACAAGACCCCCAGAGGGGTCCGCCAGGGAGACCGCAACCGGCCGACTAAGCGACGTAAGCGTGGTGCGGTCTCGGAAGAAGGAGCGGGAAGCACCGAGTCAAGGGTGAAGGTGAGTACGGCCTGAGCCGATGTGGTACCTGAGAGAGCAGACTCACCAGCACCTAGGGCAGCAGACGCACTAGCACCTAGAGCAGCAGCCTCACCAGGACCTAGAGCAGCAGCCTCAATGCCCGGGTCAAGCGGAACACACAGGTAACAGTCACCCTCATCACTAGTAGACACAACATACATGGCAGCAAGAATAGCATCATAATCCAAATCAAAGATAGCAACCCCCGACCTAAGCAGCTCGCCCCAGTGGGGGATCTTAGTGGCGTCAGGGAACTGGAGACGCCAAGCGTCCGTGAGGCGGCCGAAGCAGCACTGGGTGGTGTGTGGACCACCGCACGGCTCATCAGTGCGGTCGCCGGTACGCAGGACGTAGGCACAAGGACCAGCACCCCCACCCCGCTGACGCGCAGCGTACCACTCACGAAGCTGCTGGGGGGGCGGGGTCTCACGAGTGCGCTGTTGCTGCTGGCGCTGACCACCACCGAAGCCGCCCCGCTGCGCAGAGCCACCCCGACCAGCTCCGCCTCCACCGCCGCCACCTCCGCCACCGCCGCCACCGCCACCTCCTCCGCTCCCACCGCCACCGCCGCCGCCGCCTCCGCCTCCACCGCCGCCACCGAAGCCCCCACCCCCGCCACCACCCCCACCGCCACCCCCACTCCCACCGCCACCTCCACCGCCACCTCCACCACCCCCGCGAGCCCCTCCAGCGTCCTTGCCCCCCTTGCCCTTGCCGGTGCGGCATCTCCCGCTAGGGGCAGACGCAGCGCCAACCGACTCGATGCCAACGAAGTCGACGGCAGCAGCAGAGGCAACAGAGGGCAAAAGGGGGGAGGGGGAGCACCCCTCAAAGAAGGGGGCACGAGGGTCACCACGAGAGGCTCATACAGCGACTATACTCTTCTCAGCTGCTAGGAGGCGCTCCTCTAGGAGGTCAACGGTGAGTGTGGTGGGGCAGACAGAGAGGAAGTGGTCCCTAACCGAGCGAAGAGAGTCAGGGAGCCTGGTGACTATGTAGTAGAGGGTGATGTACATGGGGGGGGGGGGGGGGGTCCTTGGCGCAGAACTCAGCAGGAAGCGCAGCGCGGTAGCGGGTGTCACTAGTGCGAAGGTGCGTAATGAGGTCAGCGATTGTGGGAAAGGTGGCGAGGTCAGGGAACAGGTACGGCAGCATGAGGCGGCTAAGGGCAGCAGTGGCAGGGGAAGAGTAGCGTGCAATGACAGTGTCATACAAGGTCTTAGCACTCTTGAACTGACTAAAATGCGCGCGCTCAGTGGACGGCAAGTGACTACGCACAGCAAGACGGGCAGCAGCATCGCGTGTGGCCCACTGTGAGCGAATAGTGCTGTCAGCATCGGCAGCAGGGGCAGTAGAGGCGCCAGACGTGAGATCGAACAGTGAGAGACCGTCTTTCTTATCGCATTGTAGGAAATGCTGCAGATCATCGACCCAGACCTCAAAGTCAACAGCCCGACCCTCAGCATCAAAGTGGAGAACGCTAGGGGTAGCCATGACAGCAGTAGCAGCAGTAGCAGTAGTGGCAGCACTAGCAGCAGTGGCAGCACTAGCAGCATTGGCAGCAGTAGCAGCATTGGCAGCAGTGGGGGCGCAGCGCGGCGATGCTCTTACCAGGGCAGAGGGCCGCAAGTGGTGGGGCAGGGCCGAGGCGCACCGGCAGGGACGGGCCGAGGCGCGCAGGCAGGGCCGAGGCGCGCCGGCAGGGACGGGCCGAGGCGCGTCGGCAGGGCCGAGGCGCAACGGCGGCAGCAGTCAGCGGCTGCGGCCCCGGCTGTGGTGGCGGCGACTGCCGCTGGTGGCGGCTGCGGCAGCTGCGGCCCCGGGAGTAACGGCGGCGGCCGCTGCTGTCGGCGGCACCGGCGGTGGTGGCTCCCGCTAAAGGGGCGGCGACGGCTGCCGCTGCAGGGGCGGCAACGGTGGGGCGGCAAGTCCGAGAGGGGAGCCGAGAAGGGGCCTGAGGAGCCGCGTAGGGCGGCGACGGGGCCAAGGAGGGGCCGCGTGTGGCCGCGAAGGGCGGCGACGGGGCCGTGAAGGGCGGCGACAGGGCCGCGGAGGGCGGCGACGGGGCCGCGAAGGGCGGCGACAGGGCCGCGGAGGGCGGCGACGAGGCCGCGAAGAGGCCAAGAGGGGCCGTAAGGGGGCCGCAGAGGGCAGCAACGGGGCCGTGAAGGGCGGCGACAGGGCCGTGAAGGGCGGCGACAGGGCCGGGAAGGGCGGCGACGGGGCCGCGAAGGGCGGCGATAGGGCTGCGGAGGGCGGCGACGGGGCCGCGTGTGATAATGAACGAGAATGAATGCACTATAAAAGAGTTGGGTACAAGTACTAACCCTAATTGGGTTGTACCCCATATAGGCTACCCCACTACAGCCTATACAAAAGCATAAGCTATAATGTTCTGACACACCCCCATAAGCAAAGTGGGGGAGTACAAGGGGTCACAAGACCAGTCAAGCAAAGTAAAGCAAAACAAGCTCAGAGTGGATCACAAAGTCACCACACATTCCGAGCACAAGGTCAAGGCCACAAGGCCAGTTCACATGCAGGAGTACATATATATAAAAAGGCTAGACAAGCAAGAGCAGGTATATATATATATATATATATATATGTAACACTACAAGCAAGGTCAAGAGGTGAGCAAGTGAGGCAAGGCAGGCACAAGACCCAGCTGGGTACAGAAGCGCTGATGATCACAAGGCGCAAGCGCCTTGGTGAAGATATCAGCAGTGTTGGCCTCAGAGGCCACGTACGCAAGACGCAGCTGACAATGCTGCTGCAGCTCACGAGCAAGGAAGTAGCGGAGAGCAATGTGCTTCGGTCTGTGCTCCAGTCTCTGCTCTCGACACAAGGCCAGCATGGCCTTGTTGTCTACGTACAGCACTGGAGGAGAACGAGGCGGCTCTCCGAGGCCAGTCAGCAGGTAGGTGAGCCAGCGAAGCTCCTGTGCAGCCATGGCCCCTGCGTAGATCTCAGCCTCACAACTAGAGCCGAGAACAGAAGACGAGCGGGTAGCCCGCCACGAAACAGAGCCGGAACCAAGGCTGAAGGTGTAATCCTGTGACGACCGCTGCGTAGCCTGGTCGTCAGCCCAAGAAGCGCCTGCGTGCCCAGTGAGGACCACTGGACTCTGCCCTCCAAGCACAAGCCCCATGCCTGACGTACTGCACAAGTAGCGCAACACCCACTTCGCTGCAGCCATGTGCTCCGGTCTGTGTCTCCCAGGAGCAACATAGCGTGCGAGAACGCTAAGAGGGTATGCAAGGTCAGGTCGAGTGCACGTCATCAGGTACATGAGGCAGCCAACAAGCTCTGGGTATGGGCCACTCGACTCTACGGACTCATCCGAAGGCAGAGCTGAGAGCGAGTGGCGAGTAGGCAGAGGAGTGGCCTGAGGCGAGGAGTACGTGAAGCCGAAGCGCTGAAGGACCTGCTGCACCATGTGTGACTGAGTCAGGGTAATGGTGCGGCGTGCTCTGTCCCGAGTGATCTGCAAGCCAAGGTAGCTGCGCACTTCACCCAGGTCTGTGCACGTGTGTCTCTTCTGCAGCTCGGACTTCACGTGGGCGAGTCCAGCAGTGTCAGCTGTGGCAAAGACCAAGTCGTCGACGTACACGAGGATGTAGAACGGCGGCAAAGAAGTGTCGGTGCGCAGAAACAGCGACGGGTCGGCAGTAGAGGGACCAAACCCAAGAGCCGCAAGTGTAGTCCTCAGTGTGTCGTGCCACTCACGCGGTGTCTCGCGGAGACCGTAGGCTGGCCGCCGGAGGCTCCACTGGGTGCCAGGAGGATAAGACCCAGTGAAGCCAGGTGGGCGGCGCAGCCAGATCTCCTCGTGCAGGCTCCCCTGCAGGAAAGCTGTGCCGAAGTCAAGAGAGTGAAGCTCGTAGTCACGGTGAGCAGCTATGTGCAGCAGTACCCGAAGTGTGGTCATCTTCGGGGTGGGAGAGAAGGTCTGAAAGTAGTCAACTCCCTGCCGCTGTCTGAAGCCACGAGCCACGTAACGCGCCTTGAAGACAGGCGGAGAACCCGGCGGCCGCTTCACCCTGAAAATCCACATGCCACTGACGATGTTCGCCCCAGGCGGGGGAACGTCGTCAACGTAGGTGCCTGTGGACTTCCAGGAAGCCATCTCTGCGTCCATAGCTGCCTGCCACTAAGAGGAGTAGGGACCCTCTATCGCCTCCGCGTAAGAGCGCGGAGTCGGGATGTCAAGTGCATCCGGGTCTCCCTCAGGGGTAAGTAGTACGGACACGAGATGAGGTGAAGCAGCAGCCAGAGACTGGAACTCCTCCTGCCTGTCCTCAAGGATGTCCGTGCCAAGGGCACACTCACCCCCGAAGGACGGAGGACAGACAAACTCAGACTCAGCAACAAGATTGGCGGCGTAGTCTAGGCGACAGCGAGCAGCAAAGTCGACGAGCTCAGCAACTAGGGCAGACGCAGCAGTGGACTCAAAGGAAGGGTCAGTGACAACAGTAGCAAGGAGACGCGTGACAGTAGGACTGGCAGCACGAATAGAGTCCGACTCAGGGTCGGCAAGAGCAGGAAGAGACGACTCAGGAGGAGAAGGTAAAGGGGCACGCAGAGGAGCAGTGGACGGACGCAGAGACATCCGGTGTGTGCCAGGGACAGGAGGAGGACGCTGACGTGAACCGCGACCACTAGTGCGAGCAGCACGGACAGGCGACGCAGGGCGAGACGCAGGCTCACGACGCTCAGCAAGACCTCCAGTAGGACCAGTGTAGGGAGACGGAGCAGGCAGTGGGGAGGCCGGCTGTAACTGTAACTGTGACGGGACAGGCTGTGGACACTCGAAGGGAGCAGGAGGACCAGTAGAAGACGGGAGACCAAGAACCTGCTGAAGGAGCGGAACGAAGTACGACCGAGGCCGCGCGGCGACTCCAGACACAGCAGGGACAACACCAGTACCCCCAGCGGCAGCACCAGCACCAGCAGCACCTCCAGCTCCAGTACCTCCAGCAGCACCAGTAGCACCCCCACCAGGACCGCCTCCAGGACCGGCAGCAGTAGCCTCCGCGCCAACACCCGCAGCAGCTCCAACTCCAGAAGTACCCGCAGGCCCAGCAGCTCCAGGCGCAGCACCCCCAGGCTCAGCACTCCGAGGCTCTGCACCCCTAGGCTCAGCACCCCCACTACAGCCTACACAAAAGCATAAGCTATAATGTTCTGACACCGGGAAGGGGCCACGAGGGGCGGTAAGGGGCTGCGAGGGGCCGTGAGAGGGGCCGCGAAGGGCGGCGGAGGGGCCGCGAAGGGGCCGCGAGGGGCCGTGAGAGAGGCTGCGAGGGGCCTTAGGAGGGCGCGACGGGCTGCTAAGGCTAGGGACGCGACGTAAGGGAGGGCACACGGGGCACGACTCGGGCAGGAGTGAAGCGCGCTCCGGGCAGGTAAAAAAAAAAATTCCGATTTCGTGGTGGGCCCTTGGAAACGTTCCCACTAGGGAACCTGCTCTGTACCATATTAAGAAATGAGGAATGATTGACTAGTGGGAAGGTCGGGTACAAGTACAAACCCTAGAAATGTTGTACCCCATATGTGCTACCCCACTATAGCCTACATAGGCTAAGCCATATAAGTCTGACACATGATCCTCTTTAAGGATTTTGAACTTGAAGTGACGTGAACAAGGTAGCCTTGATAAGAGCCTGCTACCATAATCACGTGAAATCTTGTCAACCAATGAGATGCTGGAACTCGGGAAACTGAGATAACCTTGTTGCCGAGTTAGAATAAAGGTGTCATTCCTTGGAAGTGACGCGCTGACTAGCCCTTGGAACTGGCTTGGAACCTTGGAGTTAGTAGCCTGATAGTTTATGGAACCTTGGAGTTAGTAGCCTGATAGCATTGGACACAATGTCCGTCAGATGGACACGAGAAGTGTACCAATAGCTTCGTAACAGAAAGGCGATTCCAAAACTACCATCAATGTTACCAACTGACACGTGTGCTTCACAAGCGAGCCGATTAAAGCTGTCAGGCGGAATCCAGGCGGAGAGGACATTGTCGACATTGATAACGTATGAAATGTCTAACACGAGGGTGAATTGAGTCGCGATGATACACGAAAGCGCCTACTTCGTCAAACACCGTGCTGCAAATTGGGTCGCAGCACGTCACTCACAACAGCACCTGGTTTCATTTCGCATGTTTTTCCTGACGTCGTCACGTCTTGTCTTATTTGCGAGGTTCAACGGGTGGGGCGACCAACAAGCATAAGCTGTGGAACGTGCGTTCTTCGGGCAGTCTTCGTCAGTCTGCTTCGTAGGTCAATGGCGATGGTCGCAACAATGATTACTGTCGCTGTTGGGCGACCACGCCTTGTTCAAAAGGATGTTCCACGCTCTTAAAACCTGCGTCTCATATTTTCTAGTGTATTACAGTTGGTTGGGCTAAAGCGTCTGTGATTGGGTAACGATAGGCGAGATTTGTGACGAGCAGTTTGAAAATCATAGACGAAACCTCAATTCGTTCTGGGCAAAATCCAAACGAGCCCCTCAGGCGTGGACATCTACCACACCTAGAAAACACCTCCGGCAGAATCGCACTAACATGCGACCAATTGAAACGACAAGACACAATTCGCCCACCTTCACCAGGAAAAGCAGAGCATAACTCTCAGCCGTCATTCTTACTACTTCCGCTTAGTAGTTCTTAGGTATGTGCCTCCGCGAGCAAGATGCTGACCCGAGCACAGAAACAGGGATTAGCTGTCTACTAGCTCGCATTTCGGACCAGATAGTAGGTGACTTGCGAACAAGTTTGGTTGCGGATAAGGCACTACTTGGCGAGTAAGGAATCGCCCAATGTCAATTTACGCTAAGCGCGATTACGTGAAAGGAGTTGCCGTCCTGGGTCTGTGTGCGAGTGGCATGTGTGTGGGGTGTATGCACGTGCGTGCGTGCGGGTCTGCGTGCGTGCGTTCGTGCGCGTGCGCACCCGTGCGTGCGGGTGTGCGGGCGTGCGTGCGTGCGTGCGGGCGTGTGTACGTGCGCGTGCGCGCGCATGCGTGCGTGCGTGCGTGCATGCGTGTGCGCGTGTGCGTGCGCGTACGCGTGTGTGCGCGCGTGCGCGTACGCGTGAATTCGTGCATGCGTGCATGCGCTTGCGTGTGTGCATACGTGCATGCGTGCGTGCGTGCGTGCTTGCGCGTGCGTGCGTGCGGGTGTGCACCTGTATGTATTCATCTGCGTGAGTGCATGTGCATAGCAATTCGCATGTCATTATGCCACACGTCCCGCAGCTGTCACATCCCGGTGCTCACACCTCCCGTTCCCCCAACTGCCATCTGTGCCTCGAGACACAACACACATCCTTTTTACGGGGACACCTGACACCTGTTTTTTCCCTCCCCTTCCCTCTCTCCCCTTCCCTCTCTCCCCTTCCCTCTCTCCTCCCTCCCTCTCTCCCCTCCCCCGTCTCCTCCTCCCCTTCCAAGAACCTTCTCCATGTTCCTTGTGCTGTGATTGCTCCCCCCTCCCCGAAGCTGAGGTGCATGTAAGCAGGGGAAGGTGAGGAGGGTGTGGGTGTGGGCTATGGTAAGAGAGGGGAGGGGGAGTGGGAGGGAGGTGGGGAGGTTGAGTGCTGTGGTGGCGGTCATGAGTGTGGAGAGCCCTTTCCTTCTCGCCCTTCTTCTTTCCTTCTCGCCCTTCTTCTTTCCTTCTCGCCCTTCTTCTTTCCTTCTCGCCCTTCTTCTTTCCTTCTCATCCCACCTCCCCATCTCCTCATCCCACCTCCCCATCTCCTCATCTTACCTCAAATTATCTCCGCTCTGCTTCCTGAGCATGTCTTCTTCTACTCCCGCCCCCCCTTCCCTCTCTCCCCTCACCTACCCTCTATCCTCTTTTGTTCTCTCCGTTCCCCCTTTGTACCTGCCCTTCTTTGAATCCCTGGAGCCTTCCTTCCTCCCGTCACCCCTACCTTTGTTCCAGTTACAAGCAGGACTAAGCTAGTCCCATGCGAGCCTGGCGAAACGGAAGGGACAGGCAAGCAGCAGATGCACGGCCAGATGCATGATGGCAAAACCGGTGCTAGAGGAAAGCTATACCCCGTATCTTCAAGATATTACACAAGTGTATACATTCAATAAGTTCTTTATGTCAGTGCTGTGCACAATTGCTACTTCAAATATGGATGCATTGAAGCAATCTGAGTATCAATTGTAATATGCTATTGCAAGACAAGAGACTAGGAGAGTTTGGCAAGCCTACTTTGATAACAACTGAGTTTTGAATCTAGGCAAAGTAAAAAGAGAACTGGAGGATGAACTGGTTCTTTGTGGCGCCATGCTGAAACAAGCACATCAACAGGTGGGGGGAAAGGGGGGAAGCCGAGGGGAGACAAGTGGAGAAACAGAGGTGAGGCGAGGCATGGGAGGAAAGCGAGGGGAGGCATGGGAGGAAAGCGAGGGGAGGCATGGGAGGAAAGCGAGGTGAGGGACGAAAGGAAACCGAGGGGAGCCATGGGAGGAACCCGAGGGGAGTCATGGCATGGGGAAAGAAAGAAGGCAGGGAGGAAGGGGGAAAGTGATTGATTGGCGGCATAGTGTGTGAAAGCGGGGCAAAAAGGTGGAAGGGATGAGGGATAGGGGGAATGGGGGATGCAGGAAGGGAAAGGAGGGTGTGGGGAAGGGAAAAGGGGATGGGGAAAGGGAAGGCGGACGGGGATAGGGAAAGGGGATGCGAGAAGGGAAGGGGGACGGGGGAAGGGAAGGGGGATGGGGGAAGGGAAGGGGGATGGGGAAAGAGAAGGGGGATGGGGGAAGGGAAGGGGGGTGGGGAAAGGGAAAGGGGAATGCGGGAAGGGAAGGGGGATGGGGTAAAGGGAGGAGGATGGGGAAAGGGAAGGAGGATGCGGGAAGGGAAGGGGGATGGGGGAAGATGGGGGGAAGCGGGATTGGGGTGAACGGAAGAGAAGGGGGGGAGCGCAGCAGTCAGGCAGACGCGCGCCTCCCGCCTGCTGAGTGCGCCACCAGACATGCCCTGGGAGTTGCATGCACGGGAAGTGCGGGGGGAGAGGAGGAGCCGTCGTGATAGGGTGAGCAGGGGGGTAGCGGGGGAGTCAGGCAGAGGCGCGCCTCCCGCCTGCTTTGCCCCAGTCGGCGGTGGCATGGCTGATGCGCACTTCACGCTTTGAGGCGGGGCGCGAAATTCATTGGTGCAAGATTACAGCCTCGCCCCCAATGCGAGCTGCGGAACGACGCCGCATTTTATTGGGGCTGCGTGCTAAACAATCGCATGAGCCAGCAATGAGGCTATTCGCGCTTTGGCTGCTCTTCTCAAGACGTCCAGTTATTTGCCCTGTACCAGAAGCAACCCTAAACAGGTCGAGAGCTTTGATTATGCCGTGGCATTTGACTGACGCGGTCGATATCTTCGTTTTTGCAGAGCTAATTAGCAGCTCGTGCTCACCGTCCTGACGAGTAGCACACACTCGTAGGTGGTGGCGAAGGAAAATGCCTCGCGTCGCCTCGTCGAGTTCCTAACCGTAAAGCTTTATGGTGGACGGTCCGCACGTTACGGATATGGTCCGTTTGCACTCGCCGCGCATGAGCTTCAATGCTGGTTCTCGCTCTAAATGTTGGTGATACGACGGTCCAGTTGGTGGCGGCATTGCTGCGCCATATTATAGGGTCGCGTGGACGTTTTCTGCTGTCTATATCTAGTGTAATATGCTTGTTAGGCTGCGTGAGTTCCTCCGCTTGTTTGCTGTTCGAAACTGCGTCTCTAATTTCCTCGAGCTGGTGGAATATGTTTGTTCCCCCTGGTGCTGGAAAATCGCACAGGGTGGTTGTGTCGCACGATCGAATCATGCGATTAGCATTTTGCGTCGTCAGGTGCATTTCCACACCTTGGGGTGGTGCACGTTCAATTGCTGGGGCTGGCGCGTACAAGCCTTTCCTCTCGAGTCTCTTTCCCAACCTGACCCCAACCCTGTGCCCACCAACAGTGGTCGTTGGGCGACCTAAAACTGGTTACCCGATTTCAACCATATTACACTTGGTTGGGGGGGCGGAAATATGAGACGGCTTTAAAGCTCGCGTCTCATATTACCAACCGTTTAATACTTGGTTGGGTTTGCCCGACTGTGATTGGGTAACGAAAACAAAATATTTGACGAGTGGGCGAAAAAATCACAGCGAACTACCAAAACAGTCGAGGCCAAAACAAACCAGGGTGGGTTGGTTTGGGTGGAAAACGAGCCAAGGGGGACAGGTTCGGTCCCCCCTTCTGTCTGTTGGGCTGAGATAGCCCCTTAGGATCTTTGCAAGGGATAACTCTAGGTGAAGTAGTTGTAATAGCGGAAGCGTTTAGTGAAGAATTTGAACCGACCTTGCACTGGTGTGTGAGAGCAAAGTTGATTGAATTAAACAAGCAAATACAAGGATTTATATAAGAGTACAGGGAATACGAATAGATATGTAGATAACTGTATTGCTGTTGCGGTTCAATACAGTGCGACTCGGGCAACTGCTCTGTAACGAGTCAGTTGTGTGTCCTTAACTGTCGCGCTGTAATTGTCGAGTCAAAGGTCAGCGACCTTTGACTTTTGTCAGAATCTTAGCTAGGCTAAAGGAGCCATAGCTAGTTGAGTTCGAGTAAGTTGAGTAGAGTGAAAAGTATCGAGAGAATGGGGTTTCACTATAGGTTCAAGGGTACAAATAGGCAAGAATGAAGAAAGGCAAATGGTACACCACCTAGCAGGAAACTAAGATAACTACACTAGGCTACTGTAGGCATTTATATGAAAGTATACAAATACATTTCAACACACCCCCTAAATGCCTACAGTGGAAAACCCGTGTGTAGCACAAAGTCTGCAGGGGTACAAGGTGCAATGGAAGAAAATGAAACAAGCAAGAGCAGTAGTAGCTGGAAGTGTAAAACGCCCACGCTTGGTCACCGACACCATCCCCTCACCCTCCCCCTCCCCCTCCCCCTCCCACTGCTGCAGGAGCAGCAGAGGGGGGGCAAACGGAGGAGGATGGGGCCGTAGGGCCAGGGGACCACACATCACCCATCACCCCCACACCCGCCACCCCCAGTCCCTCCCCGGGCTCCCCCACACTCCCACACCCTCCCCCCCAGCGGCAGCTGCAGCAGAGGGAACAAAAGGAGGAGGAGAAGAGGGGGGGGGGGGGGCGACGCACGGCCTCCCCGGGCGCCAAAGCAAGCGGCAGAGGGGGCGACGACTGCCCCCCCCTTTCAGGTCACCCCTCCCGTCACCTGTCAAGGCGACCTGAGGGGGCCGCGTGCGGCCCCCGAAGGAGCCGCGACAGGTGACGGGAAGAAGGGGGGGGGGGGTGCACGTGCCCCCGGTGTGCCGTAGCTGGTGACGAGGCATGGCCGGGACGGGGTCGGGACCGCAGGTGTAGGAGACGGGCGGCTCACGGGCGGGCGGGTGGCTCGCGGACGGGCGGCTCAGAGGCGGCGGCTCACGGGCGGGCGGCGCACGGGCGGGTGGCCCACGGGTGGCGCCGGCTCACGGGCGGGCGGCTCACGGGCGGGCGGCGCACGGGCGGGCGGCTCACGGACGGGCGGCGCACGGGCGGCGCCAGCGGCTCACGGGCAGGCTGGTGGCGCACGGGCGGGCGGCTCACGGGCGGCGCCAGCGGCTCACGGGCAGGCTGGTGGCGCACGGGCGGGCGGCTCACGGGCGGCGCCGGCTCACGGTCGGGCTGCGCGCGGGTGGCGTCGGCTCACGGACGGGCGGCGCACAGGCGGTCGGCGCACGGGCGGGCCACTGGCGGCTCACGGGCGGCGGCTCACGGGCGGCGGCTTCGCAGACATCGGCGCACGGGCGGCGAGGCCGCAGTGAAGGGCGGCGAGACCGCGACGTAGGGCGGCGGGGCCGCGACAGTAGAGAGGCGGCGAGGCCGCGACAGTAGGGCGGCGGGGCCGCTTAAGAAGGGCGGCGAGGCCGCGAGAGTAGGGCACACCACGGGGCGTGCAGAACACTTAGTAGCAGCGGAAGCAGGAGTCCAGGAGCGTTACGTGCTCTGTACCATGTCAGAATCTTAGCTAGGCTAAAGGAGCCATAGCTAGTTGAGTTCGAGTAAGTTGAGTAGAGTGAAAAGTATCGAGAGAATGGGGTTTCACTATAGGTTCAAGGGTACAAATAGGCAAGAATGAAGAAAGGCAAATGGTACACCACCTAGCAGGAAACTAAGATAACTACACTAGGCTACTGTAGGCATTTATATGAAAGTATACAAATACATTTCAACAACTTTCTCGTAACCTCCAGGCGGTTACCCTAACCTCCGAGGTTGACTCGATGCTTCGATTGGGACTGCTTCGCTTGGTGCCTTGGGTTTTGATACGACAGAAGCGCACTTAGGACTTATTGTTTCCAACACTCCCCTTCGCTTCTGGAGTGTCGCTGCTGGTGACGTGGCCTTGTCCAGTCAGCATCATGCAGTATTCGAACTTCTGCTTGCCGAGTTTCTTGGTCAAGTAATCGGCTGCCATCTCGGATGTTGGACAGTATGACAGATCGAGTTTCCCTTTTTCTATCTCGTCCTTCACGAAGAAATAGCGCAGGGCGATGTGTTTCGTCCTGTTTGCGAAGCCGTTTTTGTTGGCGATGCGAATTGCTGACTGGTTGTCGCAGAACACGGTGAAGCTGGGTAACTCGGCTAGCTTCGCTTCTTCCAGTAGTTCGCGAAGGTAAAGTCCCTCCTTGGTGGCTGAGCAGAGTGCAATATATTCTGCTTCTGCTGAAGATAGTGCGATTAACTCCTGCTTGCTCGACTGCCAGGAGATAGGACCGATAGGCTCAAGGCGGTAGACATAGCCGGTGCGTGAGCGCCTGTTGTCGGTGTCGCCGGCGTGATCGGCGTCGACGTAGCCGATTAGCTTAGTCGGTGTAGCTGCGCTCTTGTGGTAGGTTAGCCCGATCGTCGCGGTGCTGACGAAGTAGTGGAGAGCGCGATCAAGTTCCGCCAGGTGTTCAGCTTCAGGCTTCTTGAGATAGGTGGCGAGCTGACTTGCGGAGTAGGATAAGTCAGGACGGCAGGTGACGGCGGCGAATAGCAGGCATCCGAGCTTCTTCTGATAGTCGCGTATGCCGGCGGGCTTGAGTAGAGTAGTTCGTTCCTTCTCGGTTCCTGATGTGTAGCGGTAGGGCGTGGAGATGGCGCTTGGTGTGAGGCTGAAGCGTTTCGCGATGGTGTCGGCGTATTTCTCGGCGCTTAGATAGATGGCGTTTTCTTCTTCGCGGATGTTGAGCCCGAGGTACTGTGTAACGGTGGAGGAGACCGTGAGCGTGAGGTCTTTCTGGAGCTCTCCTTCGAACCACGTGGCGATGCCGTCGGTTGACCCAATGTAGAGGAGATCGTCCACGTAGACGATCAGGAGAACGTAGTCGCTTCCCTTAGTGAGGCGGTACATGCCTTGGTCGTGAGGTAGTTGACTGAAGCCGATGCGGATGAGACGGGCGTGCAGGTACTGCTGCCACAGTCGCGGTGCCTGCTTGATCCCGTAGAGCGACTTAAGTAGTTGACAGATTCGGTTGGGTTCGCCGTGGGAACCGTGCGGGAGCTCGACGTAGATTTCTGCATCCACAGGTGCGTAGAGGAAGGCATTCGCGACGTCGATCTGCCGTAACTTCTTCTTCTTCATGGCGGCAATGGCGAGGAGAATTCGGAGTGACGTGTGGCGGCTGACTGGAGCAAAGGTCTCGGTGAAGTCTCGTCCTTGCTCTTGGTCGAATCCACGTACGACCCAGCGTGCTTTGAATTTTTCGATCGTGCCGTCTGCTTTCGTCTTGATGCGGAAGACCCATTTCCCGGTAAGGATGGTTTTGTTCCGTGCCACGCTTACGGGAACAACCTTCCAAGTGTTGCGTTCCTCTAATGCCTTCAGTTCTCTATCCATGGCTTCACGCCATTTCTCCCTGTGTTCCCCCCCCAGAGCCTGCTGAACCGTTGCAGGCTCCTTAGGAAGCGAGCTGCGTGCGTTCCCGTGGACTGCGGTGACGAGGCCGAGGATTTGCAGCCCAGTCTGTGAGTATCGAGGGAGTTCTGGATCCTCGGGATAAGCTGCTTCGTCTCCCGTTTCTGGGTCAGGCATGAAATTTGGCCCTACCCTTTCTGCTTCGTTGGTGTTGACTGTCACAGGTGTTACGTAACCATCGTCGGCGAAACGGTAGAAGATTTCGGCGTTGTTACTGTCGCGAGGATTATCCTCATCCATGGGCACATCGACGGAGCAGTATGGGAGAGGTCCGGCTTCTTCTGAGGCGTTGTCGACGTTCTGTTCATCCCAGTCTGCTTCGTCCGCTGCTGACGCGAAGGCTCGGTCACCACGAAAACCACTGGTGAGGTCCCGATTCTCGTGCAAGTTGGCGAGGTACGTCTGAAGGGTGAGTCTTTCGTAGAAGATCACGTCACGTGCTGCTACTGTTTCCTTTGTGTGGACGTCGAAGATTTTCCATGCGTTGTAATTTTTCTCGATGCCGAGGTGTAGTCCCCACTGTGCCCGTTGCGAAAATCTTCCCGCTCGTGCTTCTGGGGGTCTGTACTGTACCATGCACCCGAAAACTCGTAACATTTTCGTGCTGCCCTGCTTCCCTGTCCACAGCAGATGCGGTGATGCGTTGTTCGGGAGTGACGACGACGACAACAAGTTGTGTAGCATGACAGCGTGGTCCATTGCTGCTGGCCACTGGTGGTTGGGTAGCCGCATGCCACGTAATAGTTTGCGCATGCTGTTCTGCAGGGTCCTGTTCAGTCGTTCTGCAACACCTTGCTGCTGATGTGCGTAGGGAAGGGAGAGGAGTTGCTTGATCCCCTTTTCCGCCAAGAACTGCTTGAAGCGGTGAGAGGTGTACTCGCCACCTCCGTCTGACTGGAAATTTTTCAGTTGTGTTCCAGACTCTCTCTCTGCTATCGGTAGCCAGGCGGCGAATGCTGCGAGCGCCATGTCGCGGCTGGGTAGGTTGCGATGCCAGACGTATCGAGTGGCGGCGTCGATGAAGGTGATGGTGTAGTTGTAGTTGACTTGTCCTGGCTCGCGATTGTAGAGGATGTCGCTGTAGACTTTTTCGAGTGGTGCGTACGCTGGAGCGCTCGGGTTGTGATGTGAAGCAAACGGTCGATGAGGTAAGTCAGCTTCGGGACATATAAGGCAAGTCCCTCGTGCCTTCTGGAGTTCTCTGCCATCGGGTAGAAGTAGAGAATCTTTGTCAAGGACTCCTGCTCTTATCGTGTTATTCAAAACCGTGTTGCTTGGATGTCCTGTTCGTGCGTGCCAGATCTCTTCAGAGGCGCGGTGTCCAGGTGAACGCTGATATGCGTCGGAGTTGGAGTAAAAGCTGGCGACGAGGTTGGCGCTTCGGTGGACTTCACGTTGAGTCGGATTCAGCTGTTTCGCGGGTGTTGGTGGTGCTTCGTCGACTGTGACTGGTGTCGTTGTTCCTGCTGCTGCTGATGTTGTTGCTGCTGCCGATGTTGTTACTGCTGCTGATGTTGTTGCTGCTGCCGATGTTGTTACTGCTGCTGATGTTGTTGCTGCTGCCGATGTTGTTACTGTTGCCGATTGTCGAATTGTTGCTAATGCTCGTGTTCGTTCTGCTTCAGGAATGGTGTGCGAGTACCAGAAGCCTCCTGGGCTGAAGTCGGGGTCGAGATCCGGAGGGTGTGTCCAGTCTGTGAAATTCACGATGGCGTCGCTGTCTGCAGTGCCGAGGTCAGGAACGAAGTCGAGGACGAAGACGTTGTTCTTCAGCACTGCTTTTCCGATGTAGAGACCGCCTCTCCCGTGGTAAAGCTTGAACTCCTGGGTCGTGCTGTCGGCTTCCAGATGAATTCCTTTCGCCATCAACTGGCTAACGCTCAGTAAGTTGTAGCCGAGTCCTTCAGCAATGAGTACCTTAGACATGTGCAGTATGACATTTGTTTCTCTTGACTGAAGCTGTACCACTCCTTGTCTTCGTGTGCGCAGGTTTTGGTTGTTGGCAACCGTGATGATTACTTCCCGTTGGAGTCGATGTTCGCGTTGTACGAAACGCCCGGACGAGCACATGTGTTGCCCGCAGCAACTGTCCAAGAACCAGGTGTCTTGGCCGGACGGTTCACTTTGAGCGATGGCGGCGTACGTTGGATTCGGCTGGAGTAGCTCACGGCGAGGCGTTCTGTTGTCAAGCTCTTCTTCCGGTGAGTAGTGTGGTGGTGATTCGGTTGTACATGAATCGGTTATCTTCGTCATGCAGTTGATTATATTTCTTGCTCCTTGTGCAGGTTGTCCGGGTGAAGTCGTTGAAGCTTGAATAGTGGTCGTCGCACTTGCTTGTGTTGAAGCCATTTGGGAGCTTGAAGGTCGAAGTTGTCGCTGTGGTGCCGTTGATTGCTGACGATTCGGGCAGTGTGTGCGCGGGTGCCCTGAAGTCTTGCAGATGTGGCAGAAGGGAGGTACTATCTTCGGTTGCTGCTGTCGGTTGTTATAATTGCTGTGTCGTCGTTGAGTGTGGAATGCGAACTCTGATACTGTCGTTTTCTTCCTGTGTCGTTCTTCCTGCAGGTCCATATCTTGCTGCTCGGCATGTATTTCGGCACAGAGTGCAGCTTCAGAGATTCTTCCGTGGGCTCGAAGAATGGCTTTAGTGGCGCGCCACTGAGGACCAAGCCCACCAATGATGACTGTCACGAAGGCGTCTTCAGAGATTGACCCTCCGCACCGAAGCAGCTTGTCGCGCAGTTCGCGACATCGGCTGATATACGCCAGTCCTTTTTCTCCTGGTTTCATTTCGACTGTCGTCAACTGCGCCATTAACCTGCTCTGGTTTACACTGTCTGTTGCTTGATACAGGTTCTTCAGATGGCTGTACGCGAGCTCCGCCGAGTTGCCGAAGGTCCGGTAAGAGCGAATGTTCTGCTGCTGAGTTGGTGTCACATTCCTCAATAGGATTGTATACGCCATCATTGATTGATACGTATACTGCTGCTTTTCATATTGTGTCCCGTTGGCTGGATACTGCAGGGACCCGTCGAAGAAGCCGAGTATCTGCGCGCCCTCCATCATCAGCTCGAATTCAAAGGACCAGGTAAAGAAGTCTTTGCCGTCGAAGGGTCTTGACGTTTGCAGTTTTAAGACGTGTGCAAACTGCGACTGAACTTGAAGTGCGTCCAGTGGTCTTTCTTGTCCAGGTGAAGGTTGCGGGTGGGGCACGAAGCTGATTGACCCGCGCTCGTACGGAGCAAAGGTAGGTTGCTGCTGCTGGTTTCCTCACGCATATGACGACCCATCAAGACTCATGGGTGTCGCTCCGTTGTTGCTGTTGTGTGTTTGTGCAGGTCCCGACTGCTGGTGTTGTTCGTAGAAGGACATGAAGGAGAAAAATTTCTCCATCATGTTCTGGTCAAAGTCCGAAGGGTGGTTCATGGGGGTCTCGGTTGACGTTCCTCTTGGTCTTGTTGCCGTGCCTTCTTCTGTCTGCAGGCCAGAGGCTGGCGGTGGAGTAGGAGTAGTGCCCGAGGAGCCATTAGGGGAGCTCCTTTCCTTGTTTGTTGCCATGTCTTGTAATGATATTAAAAAGAGTAGAGTTTCCCTTGTCAGCTCTCATACCATGTTGGGCTGAGATAGCCCCTTAGGATCTTTGCAAGGGATAACTCTAGGTGAAGTAGTTGTAATAGCGGAAGCGTTTAGTGAAGAATTTGAACCGACCTTGCACTGGTGTGTGAGAGCAAAGTTGATTGAATTAAACAAGCAAATACAAGGATTTATATAAGAGTACAGGGAATACGAATAGATATGTAGATAACTGTATTGCTGTTGCGGTTCAATACAGTGCGACTCGGGCAACTGCTCTGTAACGAGTCAGTTGTGTGTCCTTAACTGTCGCGCTGTAATTGTCGAGTCAAAGGTCAGCGACCTTTGACTTTCTCGTAACCTCCAGGCGGTTACCCTAACCTCCGAGGTTGACTCGATGCTTCGATTGGGACTGCTTCGCTTGGTGCCTTGGGTTTTGATACGACAGAAGCGCACTTAGGACTTATTGTTTCCAACACTGTCAACGTTGAGTTTCAGAGTCTCATATTTTTGGAAGTTGTAAACGCTTGGTGTGCACGAGAAGTGTGCAACAGCCAACTTTCCCAAACCACCCCTTGCTTTGGTGTGCTTTGCGACAAACTTTGCTGTTACCAAATTCCAACCGTTTAACACTTGGTTGGATAGCAGAAATATGAGACGCGAGCTTTAAATTACACGCAATTTGGTTGGAGTTGAGGGGATAGTGTAGGCGGACCCAACCCAACCCAAGTCATGCCTCGCTCGCTACCTCTCTTTCCGCTCCTGCCCTTCTCGCCCGCGGCACAAGCATTCCTGGTCTATCCATGGTTTTCATTCCTATTGAAGCAGCTTTTCGGAGTACTAGCCATTCAAGCAGCATTCCAGCCTGACACACTTCAGTACTCTACTTAGACGCATACCAAGTTGTTTGACGTTTCCCTTGCCAGCGTTGCGAAAGGCATTATCAGCTTTTTCGGAAGTGAAGTTGTTTCCTTCTTCAAGTTTGGAGTTACTGTGCGACTTTTTCCAGCACTCGACCTTGTATAAATATGTCGACGGAAGCGCGGGATATGGAGGTGCGGCTGGTGAACGGCATGGTTCTGACGCTGAAGATGGAGGAGACGGCAGGAGGCGTGGGCGAGCGCGTGGCGACGTTGGAGGCGAAGTTGAGGGAGCAGGGCGGCGCCATGGCTGCCATGCAGCGCGACATGGCCGACATGCGCCACGCCATGGCCCTCCTCAAGGGGATGGGGGCGACGGGGGCTTTAGGGGAGAAGAGTGCGGGGGAATGGGCGGGAAACGGGAGCGACTCAAGAGAGGCAGCGGAGGGCATTGGCGCGCAACCTGTGAAAGGCGTTTTAGTTGCGATTGAAGTGGGGGAGGTGAAGGCGTAGGTGGAAGCGGTGAGGGGGGAGGCGCGGGACGCGGCGAGTGAGATGCGCGGGGAGATTGGCGCGGTGAAGGCGGAGCTTGCGCGGGTGAGGGCTGCGGCGGAGCGGCAGGTGGCGGAGGTGGCGTACGTGAAAGCGACGGCGGCGCACTCGAAGGCGCGCATCAACGACGTCGAGCTGGCGCTCACCGCCATCAAGGAGAGGCCCGCGGAAAAGAGCCGCGCCAAACGCGAGGCGGGCAGCGCAGGGGAGGATGTGGTGGAGGAGAGGCGCGAGGGGAAGAGGCGGAAGAGGGAGGAGGCGGGGGAAAATGAGGGAGGGGTCGCTGCGGGCGCTGGCTTGCTCTGGTTGCCGTCGGTGGTGCGCATGTGGAAAAGAAGGATGAGGCGGAAATGAAATGCGGAGCTGAGGGGGGAGAGAACGTTGCAGCGTGCGACAGTGGGGCTGAGCTGAAGGGACTGCGGACGCGAGTGGAAGAGCTGGAGGCAATGAGCGCTGTTGGAGGCAAAACGTGGGAGGTGATTGTTCGATTCATTGTTGTTGTCGTTAGTTTTTCATTCTTATTTGAATCTTACCTTGTTTTGAACGTTTTTATCTGTGCCTGGATTGGCCCCACTACTAGCACCTGAAGTATGTGTGGCACGCCTGCGTGCATGCGTAGCCTAAGGGCGTATCTTTGGTTCGGGTCATGCACTGTTTGGGTCATCCGAGATTCTTGGAAGACCAATCAGGCGCCTTTTAGTGAAAATACTCGAATACCATTGGTCCTCCCATGACCCAAAGTGTACTGATGACCCAAAGTGGCCTTATGACCCGAACCAAAGATACGCCCTAATCGTTGGAAAAAACTTAACGTGTACACAACCATAGCTCTCTGTATCTCGTGCTCATGCCAATCCCTCTCCCTGTTGAGCCTTACTGCCGTGCCCTCTCCCTGTTCGTGGCTGCAGGTTCTGATGATGCTATGGAGAGAAGCGGTTCCCAACGAGACTGACGTGAGGCTCCATGGCGTTCCATACCTCACGGATGCCGCTCTCACAGAACTAGCCAGCTCCCACTCTCTAACCTCATTGAACCTCAAACAGTGCGATGGCTTCACTGCAGCGGGGGTGAAGGAACTGTTTTCTCTCACCGGCCTGACATATCTGAATCTTGGGCTTACAGCCACGACTGATGGTGCTCTTGATGGCATTGACGGCCTGAAAAATCTGGAACACCTTCTTCTTGATAGAACCGATATACAACCGATGCGGGAATAGCAAAGTTCCAGGGGATGACAGCACTCAGGGCGTTGTTCATAGCTGACTGTCCGTCAGTCTCCTATGCCAGCATGGTGCATGTGGCGAAACTGACAGCTCTGGAAGTCCTTGCTCTGAACGACACTGGGGTGAGGGAGGACGGACTGCAGCAATTGACTGATCTCACCACACTGACGCTTCTCACCTTGCCTCCAGGAGTGACTGATTCCGGCATGAAGTACCTGAGGAGTATGAAACACCTGGAGACTTTGGGGTTGTGGGGTGCTAAAATAACTGCTACTGGTGTCAAGTGGCTCAAGGGGCTCAAGTGGCTGCAGAAGATCGCAACACATGATGAAGATGTTCAGGAATTGGTCAGAGACATCTTTCCTGGCATGATTGTGACACAGGCCCTCTCTGATACCGTGGCATTCCTACTAGGTATGTGCCATGCCTAGGTTCGGAATCCAGAGAGGCAATGGGGGAGATTTTGCAAGATTTGTTAAAGCCCGAGCCTAGTATGGAAGTAGGCAACGCAGGCAACACAACAGGAACTAGAAACAGGTTTGTACGAGCAAATTCAACACCAGAAAACACTCTTCACGTCGCAATCCAGAAACCACCCTCTACATAACTGTACGGTATGTGTTTAGTATACATACAACTGGCACAGCTGACGCATTCCTTCTCTCCCAAATTGCTGCTGTCCATTTCCACTACGAAAGTGCCCCCTTCAGCCTCAAAAGTGCAGAATAGTACACCCTCTTTGCAACTCTATTTGACTGGCAGGCAGTTTAGAATGGGGTTTGGTCAGCGAGTAGTTGCAGACCCACATGCCGGAGCCATCGGGGCACTGAGCAGAGGCGCAGCCGACATGAGTGGTGTCGCGCCACACCACCTGCGTGTAGTGCCCACACATCTTGCCCTCCGCACACCCGTCGGGAATGGGGCTGGGGGTCCAGTCCGCCTTCTCCTCCACCCATGACTGCACCGCCCCACGGTCCTCCTCGGGGGTCAGCCCCGCAGGTGACAGCCAGTAGAGGTTCTGCCCGAGCCCCTCTGCTCCAGAGGGCACCCTTTGGACGCCAGCTCGTTCGCCCACTCCTGTGCCGTTGCTGCCACTCCGTCGTCCCATGCCAGATCTGGCACACCCACTTCCTGCCATGCCTTGTTGTGCTCCTCCGGAATCCCTGCGATGTCGATGCTGCCGCCGCCACCACCGCCATTGTTACCGCCATTGTTACCGCCATTGTTACCGCCATCGCCAGCGCCGTTACCACCATCACCGGCACCACCATTATCTCCATCACCGCCACCACCGTTACCACCATCACCAGCACCACCGTTACCACCATCACCGCCATCAGGGCAGCGGCGCTCGTTTTCGAAAAGGCGTCGTCGTCGCGGAGGAGAGCACGCCGCCACGTTTGAGCAGCCGTGCAAGAGCCGATGACGAAAAAGAGAATGAGAGGAACCACCACAAGCTGTTGTTTCACCAGGGTCCCCATCGAGACGCAAAGGATTAAAACTGAACCAGTGGGGGGAGTAACACGCTGTAAACTGAAAGAGGGCGATGGTTCTAATCGGGTCTGGTACTGGTGAGCAACAGCTTGCAAGATTGCTAGAGCTACGGGTTGCTGGAGAGCTGGAGGTTGCTGGTTTGTGCTTTCGAAAGATGTCTGGCTGCTCAATTTGTACTGCAAACGCTGGTCAGACATGCGGCTCGTGCAGAGTCTTTTCACGTGATGGCGACGGGTTACCGTGCCGCGTGGCGTGGTGTGAGTCGAATTCAAAATTCCTCTTAAGTCAACGCCAGGGTCTGTATTTAGCGCCACTGGTCCGCTCCAAACCTTGAACAACGAAGGTGACAATGTTTCGGACCAACTGAAGTGTTACGAGATATTAGACCGAATGAGTTATGAATTGTTAGACTGTTTTGAATAAAAAACAACAAAGCTGTGACAAAATGGCCTGACCAGGGCCCTCCCAGAGGACATGATGCAGGGCCCACCGTCTGATCCATCGGTAGTTTTCTAACTGTTTTTTTGTCTGACGTACGGTATCATATATATATTTTCAAAGTCACCCCCTGATGAATCTGTTGCGATCAGAAAGTGATCGTATCCAGGATCACCTCAAAAAGGTTCGCACACTTCTAATCTAGCGGTGGTGGGCCCTTGACCTCAATAGCAGAGTGAATGTAAATGCTTGAGATAATGAAAAAATGCGGTACAAGGAATATAAATATTGTTGGAAACAATCGGTCCTAAGCGCCTCTGTCGTGTCGAAACACTAAAGACACAAGTGAAGCAACGCATATCGAGGCACTAGCGAGTCAACCCTCGGAAGTTGAAGCAACAGCTAGAGGTTACGCGAAGGTCAAAGATCAGCGATCTTTGACTTTACAAATGCAGCGCGACAGCAAGGACACACAACTGACTCGATATTGAGCAGTTGCCCGAGTCGCACTGTATCGAACCGCAACAGCCAACAGTAAAACAGTTATCATTCGTATCTCTTCGTATTCCTTGTAATCATATATATATCTTGTATCTCCTTGTTTTAATCAACTTACTTTGCCCTCACATACTAGCGCAAGGTGGTTCAGAATCTCTTTGTTAACGCTTCCGCTACTACATCATTCTATCCAGAGATTAACCCTACCAAAGATCCTAGGGGGCACTCAGCCCAACATGGTATGAGAGCAGGTTAGGGTAAAAAATTATATTTCCCCTTAAATTACACCAAGAAACATGTCGACCAGAAAGGAGAGGAGCTCCTCCAACGGCTCTCCTGGTACTACTCCTACTCCACCTCCTGCCTCTGGCCTACAGACAGAGGAAGGCACAACAACGAGACCGGCCGCTGGGTCTACTGAAACACCCGCAAACCAAGGCGCGGGCTTTGATCCAAGCATGATGGAGAAGTTCTTCTCCTTCATGTCCTTCTACGAGCAGCATCAGCAAGGAGTACCTGCGCAATCAAACAACAGCAACAACAACAACAACGTGACACCCATGAGTCTCGATGGCTCATCCTACGCACGCGGGAATCAACAACAACAACCTACCTTCGCTCCGTACGAGCCCCAGCGCGGCTCCGTTAGCTTCATGCCACAACCACAACCTGCACCGGGACAAGAAAGAACGATGGATGCACTGCAAGTTCAGTCGCAGTTCGCGCACGTTTTAAAACTACAAACGACAATACCTTTCGACGGGAAGGACTTCTTTACCTGGTCGTTCGAATTCGAGCTGATGATGGAAGGAGCGCAAATCCTTGGCTTCTTTGACGGGTCCCTGCCATACCCAACAAACGGCACACAGTATGAGAAGCAGCAGTACACCTATCAATCGATGATGGCGTACACGATACCACTGAGGAACATCACCCCGACTCAACAACTGAACATAAGGACTTACCGAGGTTATGGCAACTCCGCGGAGCTCGCGTACAATCACTTGAAGAACCTGTATCAAGCAACAGACAGCGTAAACCAAGTCTGTTAATGGCGCAGCTGACAACAATCGAAATGAAACCAGGCGAGAAGAGAATGGCATATATCAGTCGGTGCCGCGAGCTGCGCGACAACCTTCTTTGATGTGGAGGATCGATTTCAGAAGACGCCTTCGTCACGGTTGTCATCGGCGGTCTTGGTCCTCACTGGCGCTCCACTCGCGCCATACTACGAGCACACGGGAGAATCTCCGAAGCAGCACTCTGCGCCGAAATCCATGCTGAGCAGCAAGACATGGACCTGCAAGAAGAACGATACAAGAGAAAGGTATTAGTACCCGAATTCGCGTTTCACACTCAACGGCACCACAAAAACAACAACAGTCGACCGAAAATCGTACCTCCGTTCTGCCAGCTCTGCAAGACTTCAGGGCATCCTCGTACGCACTGCCCGAATCGACAACACTCAACGACGCCGCAACGCCAACTTCGCCCTTCAAGCAGTCAAGTCGCCTCAACGCAAGCAAATCCAACAACTTCGGTACAAGTCTCAACATCATCGACGGGACAACATGCGAAAGAAACAAGAAACATCATCAGCTGCATGGCAAGGCTGAGCGACTCCTGCGTAACTGAGTCACCACCATATTACTCACCAGAAGAACAACTTGACAACAGCACGCCTCGCCGCGAGTCACTTCA